CACAGTATATTAAAGGCCGCCCCTCCAAAAAGCCCCTTTTGTTTCCGCCCCCCACTCCTTCCCCGATGCTTTATTTTTATAAGCGGGAGGCCCCCAGCCCCGCTAGCGTTTCAACAAAGACCACAATTGGGCATTGTAGCGGTGGGGCCTGGGCTGCTGCTGGACCCCCACCCCGACTCCCCTCCAGCTGCCCCATGGGCCGGGGCAGACAGGGGAACGCTTGGGAAGCGGGCCTTTTAAACAAAATGCACACACGCACAGGCACGCACGCCTGCACCCCCGGGAGGGGGAAACACGCGCGCGCACACACAGACACGCGCACACACAACAAAGGCATTGTGGTGAGCAGACACTGCCGCATTGTTCACGGCTGCCCTGGGTTTTCCCCCCAAAGTGTTTGGAGGGGAGAAAGGGGGGAGGGTGGGGAGGAGAAATCCAGAAGAGAGCCGCCTTGACTCCTTCAGGAAGGCAGCCGAGCCCGGTGGAGTGGAAAAGACCCCTGGACTTGGCAGGAGACCCGGGTTCAGATACTAACACTAACCATCAGGTAGCTGAGCCTCGGTCAGTCAATAAACACATGTTAAGTCCCTACTGTGTGCCGGGCACTAAGCTAAGTGCCTGGTATTGTCGTAGAGAAAGTGCATTCTTCTACTAATTACATGCATGACATGGGACATGCATCTGGGGGTCAGTTTCCTCAAAAATGAAAGGCAGGGATGGGATGAGATGGTCGCTGATGTCTTCTGCGGCTCTACACCTATGTTCCTATGACCGCCCCCCCCCCACAACGTCCTAGAGAAATGCAAGGTATTGTTTTTATTTCTTTTGGAAAAGCAGGAAAGGAGGAGCTGCTGAGGAGGTCAGGAGTCCTAGGAGTGTGGAGTGAAGGAGAGGAGAGGAGAGAGAAAAGAGGGAGAAAGTCTCCAGGTCACCTTGGCGTCTTCCCTGGCTCCACTAGTCAGCTCCAGTAGAGACCCTCAGACTGCTGCCCAGAACCAGCCTGTGCAGAGCCACCCAGCCCACACCTTCCCTGACTGGTGGGTTTGGGTCCTCCCTGGTCCACCCTGTGATTCCATCCGCCTGGAAAGCCCCTCCTCTCATTCAGAGCAGCAACCAGTCTGTAACTGCAAGTCTGAAAGAAGTGACCACAGAGCACTTTCCCAGGATCCCCCAGGCGGTATGGGACAGAAGCAGGTCTCCAACCCAGGTCTTCCTGTCTTGGAGACCAGCCCTCTACCCATCAGGCCTCAGAGGCTTTCCTCTGAGTTAGGGGGAATGGAAGCAAGTGCTTAGAAGGTCAGATGTTGACCTTCAGGCTGCCCAGGGTAATAGACTGAACAGAAAAGGATAACCTTGACTTAAGCTCTCTCATTCCCAGCTCCAGAAGGCAGGTCTGGGAGCTATGTCCTGGGAGGCAGATTTTAGTCCTATCACTGAGAGCTGTCCTAATGGGGCCTGGGCTGCCTTGGGAGGTAGTGAGCTCTCCGTCACTACAGGTCTCCAAGCAGTGGCTAGAGATATTGTAGATAGTATTCTTGCACCAATAGAGATTGGCCTGACTCAGAGGTGTCAGAGGCTGCACGAGGCCCCCCAGATGTGGTCAGAAACAGATGAAAATGCCACTCCCATCTAAATTTAATGTGTTAATATATGAATAAAAGAAGAAACATATAGACATATGTGGTTTTCTAAGTCAACATGTGGCCCACGGGGATGCTTATGTATGACTGAGCAGACCCTGTTTCTATTTGATTTGGACACTGCTGGCCCAGATGCCCTCCAAGGGCACTTCCAAATGGCGCATTTCCTGAAGTCCTGAGTTACAAAGCCCGGGGTTCAATGCTCTAGCAGAGGGACCCCCCACGGAAATACCAGATCTAGGGCTGGGAGAGACCTCAGGTGCCATTGAGCCCATCCCTCTAACTTTACCCCAGAGTAAACTATGGCCTAGGCAAGTTAGGGAACTCAGCCAAGATCTCACAGCTGTATGATGATACTGAGGTCCCAAAGAGATTTCTCAACATCCCCCCCCCCCAGGTAAGCCAGGTCAGCATTATTCTTCCCCAAAGACAGATGGAGAAATTGAAGCTCACAGAGGTTGCGGACCTTGTCCAAGGCCATGTGATCCGTTGGTACAGTCGGGACAAGAACCCAGGACCTTCCACTACGTCCCATGGACAAGCCCCTTGCCTACGTCCACTTCTTGGGCTTCTGACTGAGGGTTGGAAGGGAAGGGATGGTGAAATCCCCTCCTTTTAAACCGAGACCCTTAAGGACCTAGTGACCACGCTCATGGGGAAGGTGTAGCAGCAGGAAGCGCCAGGGGGCAGGGAGAATCCGTTCCCTTCAGGCTGGTGCTTTGCCTTGTCCTCGAAGGAGATGCTGTCCAGCTCAGGTGGGCTACGAGGAAGAGCGTGGCGGGGCAGGGGAAGGTCGAAACCTTGGAGTTTTTCCTGAGTCAGATTTCACAGGTCAGTGTCGTTGACTCGTCCCTCAGCACCCGCGCTTGAAGGGCTGAGTGCTCTCCCAAAGGGACCCTGTGGAGTCACAGCCTCACCCCAGCTCACTCCTACAGCATATCCTCCCCACTGAGATAAAAAAAAAAAGTTCCCACCTGAAGCTTAGGTTCCATCAGAAAATCCCACCTGGCCCTGCTCACCGGCCCAGCCACCCCGGCTCAAAGCATGTTCACTGGGGGGGTGGGGGCAGGGAAACAGCCCTGATTTAGTGTTTGGGAGTGAAAATAAACACTGGAGGTTTTTTGGCCTCAGCTTTCCTTTCCAGCGGCTACTCAATCAATTCTTTCATTCACACCCGACAGGGAGCCTCAAGGAAGTTTGCCTGGCAAAGCCCCCGAAAGTTTGCAGAGTGTTTATTTTGGGGGGGAGGGCAAAGGGGGCAGAATGGAAAGTGTGACATTACCTCTGATCTCCCCCCCACCCCGACCTCCCACTCCCCTCCCAGTAGTGTCCTCTGGGGCCAGGCGGAACAAGGCCAATCCCTCTTCCATGTATCGGCCTTCACGACCCCCACCCCCTCCCCTGAGCCTTCTCCTCTCCAGGCTTCCTTCCCTCAATGCTCCTGTGGTACAGACTTGAGGCCCTTCCCCATCCTGGCTGCCCTCTTCAGCACACTCCTCAGCTTACCAATATCCTTCCTGAAATGGGATGCTGACCACAGCCCTCCACTCGTGGTCTGACTAGGGCGAAAGTCAAGAAGACCTCCAGAGGACCTTTTCAGGCCTAAAAGCTGGAGGACAATGAGGACGGCCTGGTCCTCAAGTGGGCAGCAGCACAGGGATGGAGGAGATAGGTGACCTGTTTGTGCCCAGCCCAAGGGGCCGGGTCCCTCGGCCTCGCTCCCACAGCCTCTCCCTGGTTCCCCAAGCAGTCTGTCTTTCCTACCCAAGGCGAGCCCTGCTGGTCTCCCCATGGCCAAGCTGAAGTCACTTTGAGCTCATGGAAGGATGAGGGCATGAGCTACCTCGTCCGCTTGGTCAGGGCTTAGCCAAGACTCGGCCTACGTAGCAAACTGATTCTCCAAAGTGTTGAAAACTAAGCTGTGTCCCAATTTTTCCATATGTCTCACAACTCACTCCATCTGACTCCTGGCTACTCTCCTCCTTCCAATGAACATGCACACACACACACACACACACACACACACACACACACACGCACCACCCCTGGTGACGGCTCATAAATCTCCAAATGTGCCCAGGGTGCTGGAGAGCGTGCTCAGGGCCAAGAGAGTGGAGGGCTAATGGGATCATCAGTCACAGCCTGACAGTTCCCGGGCTGATGAAATATGGCTCTGTGCAGGGACAGGGGAGGGAGGGCAGGCAGGCGGCAGCCAGCAGCTCCCAGGAACTTCTTCCAGCTGAGGCTGAACTTTCTCCAGGCTGGCGCTCTCCCGGCCCCCCACTCTGTCGTCCTGAGGGCTGAGCCACTGGACCAGCAGCCCCTTCTCTCTTTTTGCCTTCTGTGCTAAAGCCCCAGCCCCTGCCAAGGATGGGGATTCTCAGAGTCAGCTCAAGACAAGACAGAGCCCCACATAAGTCCCTACTGGCTGCTCCCCTTCTCTCCTCTTGCCTGTGACAATGGCCCTCTTTCTCATTCCATGCTCCATGAAAAACTCACCAACTCCTCTCAGAAGTCTGAAGGAATAAAAAGATCAAGTGGATAGATGGACAGATGGAGGCATGGATGGAGGGAGGGAGGGAGGGATGGATGTATACATAGCTTATAGATATACTCTGTACTGTATTCAGCTGGACCTCTTTTATCTGTATGGCTCTGTCATCAGTATCACTGGCCCATGACTTTTGTATGTGTCCTACACATTCATTCATTCATTCATTCAACGAGCATGTATTACATGCCTACTGTGTACAAGACTCTCAGTGCCTATACTATGTCCTATTCATTCATTCACTTATTTAATTAGCATTTATCAAGTGCCTACTATTCTCAAGGCCCTGACCTATGCCCTATAACCTATTCCCTTGATGGTAAGTGAAAAACAATACAATCCTTGCCTCTATATAGTAGCTAATAGCAAGCATGTATATAACATGTACATAGCATGTTTTCAGGTGTGCAAAGTCCTTTACTTGATCCTAACAGCTCTGAGAAATAGAGACTAATCTTAGCTACCTGCATATCCCACAAGTCCACGGATGTCTAGGATGAGGCCACAAAGTTTGAAGTTGGGGGCAAGGGCATGACCTCCAGGAGAAAACCAATGCCCACAAACCCCAAACTTTTAGGCCAAAAGCAATCCCAAAGATTAGGCCAGAGCCTGAAAGAAATTAGGCTGGACCTAATGAGACATATGTCTTGTTTCCTTTCCTCTCAAAAAAGAAGATTTCCCAGGACTTGTCTTAAGGAAAGAGGTCCTCTCTATCATTTGCCATCCAAGAAGACATCTCACAGAAGGATTTCTCTGCCCACAACCCCTGTCCCCATATTCCCAAGGTAGGCCTGTACATATGGACATACCAGAAAAGCTGTCCTTGTCCATGGCGGGCAGGTCTCGTGCCTGGTACATATAACAGCGGAGGTGATAGCGGTTCCCATCTTCATGGAAGGGGAAAGAGAGGAAAACGAAGGTGAGCACCCGGGTATGGCTGCTGGACTCAAGTTCAGAGGGCTTGGGAAGTGAGAAGGGGACTCAGGTTAGACTCAGGGGCCCCTTCTGGGTCTCTAATATTCTAGGATCCCAGGATTCTCTTGATAGAGGGAGGAGGTACCATGGCTGGCCAGGGTAAAGAGAATGTCTCTGAAGTGTCTTGCAAACCTTATAGCCCTATAAAAGGTCAGATGTTATTAAACACAAAGATACACTAACTCAAAGATTCATATGCACATGCATCCACATATGTACATACAGATACATAAAGACACACAAATACAAGGACATAGAGATACAGTCATCCACTTCACACTCAGACACACAACAAATGGACAAAAACAGGTCCATCCAAATAGACAAAGACCCACAGACAGAGTCATAATTATCCACATACACACAGACGCGCTCATTCACATACATCTACAGGGACACAAAAACTCAGGCTACATCCATCCACATCCGGGTACAGAGAGAGCCACAAACACAAGGGCCCCCATCACTGCCCCTCTCCTCCCTTCCCCCTCACTGGACACATGACCCAAGACCACTTACGGTCAAAGATGCAGGAAATTGTGGGCCTGTTGACGCCAAAACTCAAGGTGGAGACTGACTTGGCATCTTCGCTCTTGTCATCCAATACACCGCCCTAAGGGGAGGAGAAGAGACCGGGCACCTGAGACATGCTGAGCCCCCAGGGGACAGACCAACCCCCAGAGACAAGGTCAGTCTCCTGACCCCGACTCCATTGCCTTCACACTCTTCCCACATTACTCCAGACCCATCATCCTACTTGAATCCCTGACCAGATCTCTTTTATTGTGCTGCTCTCCTGCTCAAAAGCCTTCAATAGCAACCTATCACCTACAGAAAGAAGAAAAGGCAAAGTTTTCAGCTTTGCATCAAAGCCCCCCCTCCCCTTACACACACACACACACACACACACACACACACACACACACACGCACACATGCACACATGCACATACACAATCCAACACCAGCCTCCTTTCACAGCCTCACACAAACTCCTCACCTCAGGCAGGTAGGTCCCCTCACTACCCAGAGAACACATTCGTTCCCTCCCTCCAGGCCTTTGCTTTGGGATTGGCCTTCCTTTCCGCCTACCCAAAGCCTTACTCATCTTTCCAGGCCCAACCTCAGTCCCACTTCCAAGAAGTCTTCTCTTTCCAGTCCAATTCAGAGGATTCTCTCTCTATTCTGACACCCAATAGCTCTCCCCTGAACCACACAACTCAGCATGGCCTGGCATTGGTCCCTATTGCTTCATGGAGTCTCACTGCCCCAAATGTGAGATTTCCCAAGGAGAGGAGATAAAAAATCACTTCTCCTTTCCTCTTCCACAGCACCAAGTATACAGTAGGTGTTCAATAAAGACTTCTATATTGATACAACTAATCACCTCCAACTGGTAAGAAACGTGGTGTCTCCTCTCAGGAAGCCCTTGGTCTGGTGGGAAGGCCCAGCTACTGCTCGCAGGGAGCCCCTGTTCTGAGGGGGGAGACAAAGAACCTGCCCTCAGGGATGTCCCGATTTAACGTGGGAGATTCAGCCCTTCCTTTAGGAGCAACTGGTCTGACGGGAAAGACTACAAGGAGCCCTGGTCCAAGTCATCTTCTTCTGTGCCCACAGTTAACTCACTCTAACCTGGCCAAGCCCCAACTCAGGAGTCAGAAAGTCAGAGAAGGTTGTTCTGGAAGAGGCCTTGGAGATGATGTTCTCCAACGCCCTCCTTATCCCAAGAAGAAATCAGAGATCTGGGCCTTGGGACCAAAGTCCAGGGCCTTAGCCCAGAGCTCTTCCTCCTTCCTGAGAAAGGGACTCCCAGAGGTGACCCCTCATATCCCATCCTAGAGATCGTGCAGGGCACATTCAATGAAAAGCGTCTGACAGAACTGCTCCCTGTTTCTTGGAAGGAGGGGGAGCCAGTCCCACCCTAGGCCAGCACAGGGCTGTGTTGGAGGCCGCCTGGCCCCACCAGCATCCCAACGGGAGCACTAAATCTGTCAGGCTAATTGCCTTCAGAGCACGCCAGGTCAACCCAAGCCAGCACTCCCTGGCCGGGCCCAGCCCAGCCTCCCCTCCACTCCCCGCTGTGGTCCTGGTGTGTGGGCTGCCTCTGTCTAAGCAGAGAATGGGGGGAAAGGGGGGAGGGATCCGGTCAAGGCTGCCAGTGCTCCCTGAGGCCTGGAAGAAATGGGGCATCCAATCTGCGGGGTCTCCCCCATCCCGTCCCAGGCTCAGGTAAATGGACAGACTTATTAAGAGGAGCAGGGCCCAAGAGAAAGAGAAGGGGGGAGACTGAGGATCAGAGAGAGAAAAGGAAGCTAGGCTAGTAGCTGTCCAAAGACAGCATCTTGGGAAGCTGGGAGTGGGACTCATTCATCACTGAGGAGCAACAGGGCGGAGAGAGAGAGAGAGAGAGAAGAGAGAGAGAGAGAGAGAGAGAGAGAGAGAGACAGAAAGACAGAGAGACAGAGAGAGAGGAGAGAGAGAGAGAGGAGAGAGAGAGAGAGAGAGAGAGAGAGAGAGAGAGAGAGAGAGAGACAGAAAGACAGAGAGACAGAGAGAGAGGAGAGAGAGAGAGAGGAGAGAGAGAGAGAGTATGCACTGGCCAGCCAGATCCAAGTGCATGTACAGAGGGGAAGGGAAGGGAGGAAAATGTGGATGCTTCTCCCAACCCACACCTGTATTTCCCCACTTTCCACGAAGGGGACTCCAGGCTGCAGCGGGGGGAAGAAGGTGCCTGCCTCCCCAGTCCACGATAACTCACATTTGGAAAGACCCATGCCCTGGACATCCGAGGGCCCGTCCACCCGGCGGAATGCTTTCCTTATTCCCCCCACCCCCAATGGTTATCACCCTGTCCAAGCTATCTGCTGTTTCCTTATCTATGTTTTATCTGCTTTCCACTTTGCCTCTGCAGGCTCCGCACTGGGCACAGTGTCCTGTGCCTCACAGATGCTGAATAAATGAATTCGGAGGAGAGGAATAGAATGGCTTTGCTTCAAACCGATAATGAAGCTGAAGACCTGGTTTGAGAGGGCCTGAGGGTGCCTGCCTATGTCACCCCCTCTTTCCTTATTGCCAGCTACGCAGCTCCTTTCTCTCGTTCCATTCTAAGCTCAGGAGGGCAAGCCGGCATCACCACTCCGCCTTAGTAAACCTCTCTCCTTCTACAATGTCTATTTGGTTCACATATTCCCCAGAGAGCTGGAGAAGGATAGAAGTATTTCATTTGAATAAAACTCTCCTGCAAGATTACCCTGAGTTTGAGACAGGAGCCTCAATTCCCTTTCGGTTCTTTCTGGGATCAACAGGTGACTGAGCATTAAAGGGGACAGTGTAGTGTTAAAAGAGGTATGGCGTGTGATGGTGATGAGAAGGTTAAACCTTGGAGTGGCCATACTATAGAAAAGTTCATTACAGATAACCTAGGGCTTGGGGCAGTGTAGGCTGAGGGATGGGGGGAAGATGGTCACCATCAATATAAGCCCATTTATGTTACTGAATTTCACTTTACAAAATCTGAACCTCAAACGTAACTCATTTTCAGGCTGGGGCATATTTGCACTACGTGGCAGAGAAGTAGAAACGACTTGTCCCTTTACTGTCAGAGGGCTGCGGCTGCCCCGCTCCTAGGAACACAGCTCCTCCCACCCCTACCTCATACCCTCATCTCCTTGTTTAAACCCGAGTGCTTCAGACAGTCGTTCTGGGCCAAGGGATACAGGGGCTGTGTATGTGGTTGTGAGCACACATGCATGCACACATATATAGGAACAAATACATACACCAATGTATATATAAATACATACATATGTGTGTATATACACATAGAGGGATCATGGATTAGAGAGCCAGCCCCAGAGGCAGGGAGACCTGGGTTTAAGCCCCACCTGAGACACACTCTCTGGGACCCTGGACAGGTCACTGAAACCTCCCAGTGTTTTAGATAACTCTAAGTGGTAAAGAAGCTATTGACTTGCATTGGGAGACTTGCCATGAAACCATGGGTCTATATCAGAGCGTAGATGGAGACGTGGTGTTTGGACGTGGCCAGCCTGAGGGTTTGTTTTGCTTGACCATGATGACCCTAGTGGGGTTTTAGCTCTCTTGCTTTCTCAGTGGTCACTCAAGTGGGCAGAGACTCGTGGATGTGGAGGGCACTTCCCCCAGATGGCCGTGACAGTGGCTTATAGGGTTTTGGTACAAGCATGTAAACCCCTTAAGGGAAAAGATCATTCTGTTTTTGTATCTGTGACCCTGGCCTGGTACAAAAAAGGGAACAAATGAATGCATGAATGAACAGGAAAAGGAAAAATGTCACAGAGTCTAGTTGGGCACCATTTTTCCTGGGAGGAATCGCCTCTTCCCAGTGGTACCTTTAGGTGAAGGGTAATATTGTGGCCCAGCTCTGTGACCCACAGGATCCCAAAGTGGATACAAAGAGAGGGGATCTAGATTCAGGACAGACTCAGGGGGGCAGTGTGTGGTAACCAACAGTCAATCAATCCACAGGCATTTATTAAGCCCCTACTATGTACTAAGCGCTGTCAATAACCATGGACAGACCCCAGGACATGTTGCAAAAGTGCTCCCAGTTCCATAAACCGAAGCAGTCCCCTGGAGGTGGCCCCCGCCTCCTCCCCCACCTCGACTCCTTCCTCATCAAAGGTTTTCACTTGTGTCCATTGTGAGAGACCCATCCTGACCCGTGTATTAAGTGCCTCCTATGAGCAAGACAGTGCTGAGTGCTGAGGGTACAACGACAAACAGGAAATACTCCTGTCCACAAAAAGCTTACGATCCCCTGAGGGGCCACAGAAATGTGAGGGCATTTTGAGAGGAAGAGAGAGAGAACAGCAGAGGTACGTTGTTCGGCCACGTCCACCAGACGGGACCCAGCTCTCGTCCCCAGGCTGAGGCTCAGGCTAAGAGGGACACGTGTCCACGTGCAGGGGTGGAGGGGGGCCTTGGAGCTGGGCTGGGAAAGAAGTTGGGGATTCAAAGAGAACCACGCCTCCACTGATTCTCCAGGCTCTTCCTCCTCCTGGCCCTCCCCCTTCCCACCTGAGACACTGAAACTCGGCTCTCCTGGCTCCATTCCCTTCACTCATGCCTCAGATGACTGGGCCTTCCCTTCCCCGCCCCCAGCTTCCTTCCACTTCCAAGCTCCCCTCTCAGTGCTGTCCTGGGGCAGGCCCTGCCTTGCCTGCTCAGTTCTGCCATCCCGGCACTCAGTACAGAGTGGCACTTTATCCTATGCTTAGCCCTCCTGCCTCTCCCAGGCCCGCTGGACCCTCTAGAGAAGGCCTTCCTTTCTAACCAGAGTGTGAGGTGGGCAAGGCGACAACAACCTCTGCAGTCCCAGAGTCTTTGTGGACACAGAGGGAATGTGGAAGAGCCTGGGCCCCAGATCCTCCCTGCCCTGAGGCAGTGGCCTCTGGGGCCTCCTGGGGGGGGTCACCTTCACCAAGGATGACTCCCTTTCTGGTTGTGTTGGCTTTTGTTTTCAGAGAAGAAGAAAAAAAAAAGCAAAGACCCCCATTCTGCAAGTGCAGACCCAATAGAAGCTGCCTCAGTGCTCCTAACTTTGTTAAGTTCTGGGCTGAGGCCTCTGGACACT